AATGATTTGACGCAATTATTAAATTCTTGATTTTTAATTGCGTCTGACTCAATTCAATAATTTTCACCACATGTATACTCTAATCCAAGATTTTCTTTATTTCACTTATAAAATGTTGTGCTATCTAATATTCTTTCAAAAATCCTCCTCAGTGTGGAAAGTCAAATAATTCCACTTCACCCGCTCAATCCCTCTCGGCTAATATTTGCTTTAACTGGAGGTTTTTGTATATAAATCCCTTGATATTCTATTACATTATAAATACACATTAATAATAGTTGAATAAATTATTCAATACATAAACAAAGTTACCTAAAGATGGTCCTGGCATGGCAATCAACAGATTGATGCCCTTGTTTAATTTTTGAACCTCCGCTTGTCTAGTATCACTATACCAAATGTTTGACTATAAAGAAATTCAATTGCCGGTATCAAAAATGCCAGAGTTTTACCTAATATTGTTAACATAGGTATAAATCACTAACGACGACATGGCAGTACAAGCAAAAGACCATATGTTACCCGATCCAGTTTTAGCAGTGCCTAGAACATCACGACCAGTGGTATCATCCTTGCTTGAACTTCTGTCATTTTTTCGAATCCCACTTCCTTAATAGCTTTTCTGGTAGGTTCTGAAATCTCCAATGATTCAAAATTGTAATTGATATCCGTGGCCGTATCTGTCGATAAAACCATAAATTGAATTGCCTTGACAAAATCTTAATTTGATAAATTAACGTGAAGTTGATCCACACCATAAGTTTCAATCTGTGGTACTTTGTTAGAGTAGTCGCTCACTATAGAATCGTCGAGTTTTTGTTTTTTACTCTTATTTCCTATTTCTTCCTCAGGATCAATTGTTTTATTATCGTGGTCAGAAGTGAGTTCGACTTCTTCTATCTTCGAATTCTCCAAATTGTCTTGAGATAAAGAAGTTACATTTTTTTCTGGAACTTTCAAACTATCTAAATCATTAACCTCCATTTTTTGTGTGCTATTCGGATCGAGTTGTTGTTGTCCTTGCGTCTTCTTTTTATTGGATCTCTTTCTTTTCTTTCCATTTTTTGTATGCTATCCGGATCGAGTTGTTATTGTCCTTGTGTCTTCTTTTTATTGGATCTTTTTCTTTTCTTTCCATTTTTTGTGTGCTATCCGGATCAAGTTGTTGTTGTCCTTACGTCTTCTTTTTATTGGATCTCTTTCTTTTCTTTCCATTTTTTGTGTACTATCTGATCAAGTTATTGTTATCCTTGCGTCTTCTTTTTATTGGATCTCTTTCTTTCCATTTTTTGTGTACTATCTGAATCGAGTTGTTGTTGTTCTTGCATTTTCTTTTTATTGGATCTCTTTCTTTTCTTTTCATTTTTTGTGTGCTATCCAGATCAAGTTATTGTTGTCCTTGTGTCTTCTTTTTATTGGATCTCTTTCTTTTCTTTCCATTTTTCGTCTTTTCTCCAACTTCCATTATTTTTTATCGACTTTTTGATTTTTTTTTAGCAAACTCACTAAACTTACAATCATTCCTAAACATGAATGGGTTATTAATTGTCCTGTTGGCAAATTCAAAGAAAGAATAAGACATAGAAATAGTATTAGAATAAAAAATACTTGGTTCTACGGCTCTATAAAGTGCTTTTGCAGTTGATGCTTTTTGCCTTTTGGTTTGCTCCTCTGCCTGTACTTGTAATTTATCAGTTTGTGATTTGGCACTATCTTCTTTAAGTCCTGTTTGTTTCTTGTAGCGGTCAACATCTACCATTTGGTTAAAGTCAGATTGAATTTGTTTTTTTAATCATTCTCTCACCGCCATTCTTATCATTCTTAATAAATTTGGTATCCACCAATCACACCCATCATCCCAAAAAGTCAGTCAAAAAGTCCCATGCTCTGTTCTGACCCATCAACCTTTACCTCTCATTTAAAAAATATGTCGCCACTTTCAAAATTGTAGAGTATGCCTGCTATACTTGACCTTATGACAATATGATAGCCAAGACAAAATTTTAACCTGTCTTTGGCTATTTCTGTGCTTCCACTGCCATCTAAAAATTTTGAATAAAGTAAAATTCGATTTTAATATTATTAATTGAACAGTATATACTTATTTATATCATATACCGTGCACTTACATTTCTTTGAATTTCTGGTTTAAAAAGTCGATTGAATTAATTTGTTCATAATTTATCCCATGCATCTTCAGGGATTCTTCTATGCGATTTATATTTTTTAGCAGCATATTTTGCTAACTTACCTGTAATTCCATGTCTGTACAAATCCATATATTGCCATATTTTTCGTGCAAATCTATGAATTGTTATTAAATCAACAGAATCAAGAACACAAGGAACTGTTTCTAGTAATCCGTTCCATGTATAATTACAGTTATTTCTTGCATATCGTTTGGCCACTTCCCAATAATGTTCAATAAAGTTCAATTCGCAATGAAATTTTGGCAAAAAAATACAGATGTGATCAGAATTTTCAATTGTTTCAATTAAACCTGATTTTTGAGCCAGAAAATCCGGTTGTAAAGATATAATTCTTCTTCCACAACAATCTGTACGTAAAGAATCACTGTTT